TTGATTGGAGTCACATATGCTCAGGTGTCACCCGACCCAACCCGATTCGAAACCGATCTAAAAAATATCCGATTTAGATTTGGACTCGCGTGGACATAACAATTTAGTATGATTTAACTTTAAAAATTTAGCCGACCTGGCCCGATCATATCAGACCCAATCCGATTATTCGAATTGACACCCATAGTCAGTGGTTAGTTTTTATTAACAAAGCACGAGTTAACATAACAATCTATGTTATTTAGTTTTGAACTATGTAATAATACTTTGGCCCTGTTTGGTAGTAAGCTTATTGGGGGTATATTAGCTTATTTGACTAACTATAGCTGATTGACTAGTCAAACAAGCTAATACAAGTGTTTGGTAATAAGCTTATTGAAAGGGTTTATTCCACTAAATAAGCTCTTTTTGAAAAAGCTCATTTTAGGAGCTTTTTCAATTAGCTTATTCATTAATTATTGTGAAATGACACTTATAACCTCATTTAATTTAAAATCCTATCTAAACTACCTACCCCACAATTAGCTTATTGGTCATTTCATATACTCAATCACCTTTAAGCTATCAGCTATTTACCAAACACTTTTATATAATCAGTTAATACAATAAGTTAGTCAAATCAGTTAATAAAATCAGCTAGTCAAAATCAGCTAACTCAATCAGTTTCAGCTTTCAGCTAGCTTTCAGTTAGCCCTTTCAATAAGCTTACTACCAAACACTTGTATTAGCTTGTTTGACTAGTCAATCAGCTAAAGTTAGTCAAATAAACTAATATACCCCCAATAACCTTACTACCAAACAGGGCCAAAGGATTTATATTCATTCGCTCTTACTCTTATAGTCTTATGTTCTTCTAAGTATTTCAACTACATGTTCATTTTTGCTTTTAGGATTTATATTCATTCGTTCTTACTCTTATGTTCTTCTAAGTATTATGTTTAGTTGTTAAAGAGCATGTTTGGTAATTTTTTATTTTTTAGAAAATTTTGCAAAAAACCACATTTTAAATCTTATTTTTTTGCATATAACCACCTTTTAAAAAATATGTTGCAAAAGACCACCAATTTAAAAATTTTTGTTGCAAATTACCACCATTTCAATGTAAAATAATTGATAAATTTGGCTTAAAAAGTGGTATTTTGCAACAAAAATTTTAAAATTGGTGGTCTTTTGCAACATTTTTTTTAAAAGGTGGTTATATGCAAAAAAATATATTTAAAAGGTGATTTTAAGCAAAATATTCTTTTTTTTTAATACAGAGTAAATTTGAATATGGCTTCAATTAAGTCATTATCGTTATCAAATATTTGGTTAAAAGGTTTGGATAATAATTACCATTATCTAAGGGTAATGGTTTACATCTATTTGTTACCTCTCTAAAGTCTAAAGTAATAAATACCCTTATTCTCCTCAAGTCAAACAAAAAGAAAAAAAAAAGTTAGATAACGTAATTTCTTTTTATGGTTAAACCATGTAAACAAATGAAAAGGTAATAGATAAATAATTCCTTTCTACCCTTTTATTTGTTTCCTTTTCATTTCGGTTATGTTATTCATACTAATCGCTCCCTAAAAGTTTATATTATTTAAAAGGCAAAAGCTAACGAACGCCCCTGGGGCGTTGGATAAGCTAGCTAAAAGTAGAAGGATTAAATTAAAAATGAACATTAATTACACCGATCGACGCTTGATTTTGTCATGCTTTTCGCCAAATTAATACCACTTTAAGTAATATTTTAAATGCTTATCCAATGCCCCAAAAGACGTTCATTAGCAAGATCCTATTTAAAATTAGCCTTAATGTTAATCGTGTATACCGTTGTACAAAAAACTTATTTGATCTTTTTAAATGAGTTTTTGGGCTCAAAATGCACTTTTCAAAAAAGCTCATAATAAGAGCTTTTTGATGTTACCATTTTGGTTATTATCTAGTTCATACATTGAAACAATTAATACAGAGTTATTATTAACAACAACTTCATAGTTACCAAACTAGTTAATGCAACATGCTACCTTAGTCAAATCAGTTTATACAACCAACTAATTACCAAGTAGGGTTAATTATGAATTATCAATTGCTAATGAATATATATATACACCTAGTTTGTAGGAAGTATCACTTATAATCGATTGTGTTAGAGATACAAGATATCGGAAAATATATTCTACGGAGTAGGGCTTTTCATCGGTCCAAGACCGGACCGACCCGGATTGGACCGAAGATCGAAAATTAGAATTTAAAGAACCGAAGATCGGATCGATTAAAGTCAGGTCCGATATGGGTTCTGTCCGGGGTGGTCCGGTCCATTTTTTCGGTCCGGACCAATTTATGAACATCCCTATATCTTTAGTGGAATTTGACTAAGCCACTAAAATTAGTTTAATCATCCATCTTCATTCTACATCACAATTTCAAATGTACTCCGTATGTTGTAAGAAATCTTACGAGTTAACCCAATAACCGAGGGTCCGAGACATGCATGTGACGGATCTTGCTTAAAACAAAAGGATTTTTTTTTTTTTTGAACGGAAAAACAAAAGGAAAATTGAAATTCCGAGTTACTTATCTCGAGTGAAGTTGGGATACGTACTCTTCCCATAACAAGACGATGACGACAATTTTTCTAGCATTATCACGCTCTTTTTCCTGCTTATAAAAAACTCCATCAAATTATTGATAATATATTATTAGTGGTGGACTTATTTTTATCGCTATCACTCATATAATAAACATTATTCTAAATAAAAAAGCGGCAACTTCTCAATGCAACTAAAGGCTGCAAACTAGTAATTGGTCAATAAATTGACAGTTTGAATATAAATAAATTGATGAAAGGTCTTAAAAATGGCAGGATTTTAGTATAATTAATTGGAATAATGAAGTCAGTGAAGAAGTTGCCTCAGCTGTTGCCTGGTGGTCTGGTACATGCTTCTTGTTGCATAACAATATTAATTCATGCTAATTATTGTGGCTAAATAAGTAAATAATCATAACTTAGAATATGCTTTTGCGTAACCACGCATGTGACTACACGTAATAGTGGAATCATTCCCATTTTCTATCTTTTTTCTTTCAACTTGATCAGTTAGTTGATTGATCCTAACATTTAGGATAAATTACTGGACTATACACTCAATAATTGAAACTATACCTTTTTCCTTTTATTTCTTCCTTTTATTAGAAAATAATTAAATCAAAGATAATAAAGATGGCATAGGTCATTCCCTGATGCCAAGCATTAGGTCCGGTTCTTTTTTACTTAATTAAATTTAGGGATAATTTTCAAAAAACCACCCAAAAATGTGTTGAATTTCTAACTAACCACCCAAAAAAAATTTATTTTAAAATACCACCCATTAAATTAATTTTTTGCTCAGATTCCCACCCAATTTGAAAATCCGGTGGTTTTTTTAGCTTGTGGGGCCCACATAACGGCTAGTTTATGCTTTTATTTGTTTTCTTCCCCCGATTTTTCCTATAAAAGTGTATTCCTTATTCAATTTTTGCTCCTAAACAAAATTTTTCCCCAAATTACACAAAATTAAGCTTGCTTCTAATTGCAAAAATTGAATAAGGAATACACTTTTATAGGAAAAATCGGGGGAAGAAAACAAATAAAAGCATAAACTAGCCGTTATGTGGGCCCCACAAGCTAAAAACCACCGAATTTTCAAATTGGGTGGGAATCTGAGCAAAAAATTAATTTAATGGGTGGTATTTTAAAATAAATTTTTTTTTGGGTGGTTAGTTAGAAATTCAACACATTTTTTGGGTGGTTTTTTGAAAATTATCCTAAATTTAGTAAACCAAATTGAAAATTAATCCAATTGGACTTAAAAAAAAAAAGAAATTGAATTGAATAAAACTGAAGTTAATCAAACTAAATTAAACTAAACTAACTGAAATGCGATAATCCTTATAAACTAACAAGAACAGAGCTAAACAGAACTGAACATAATTTAAATGAACTGAACCGAAAATAATTGAGATCAATTGAAACTAAGGACCTCATCTGTTCAGCTTAATTTCAGTTCAGTTCAGTTCAGTTCCTAATTTACTTCTCTCATAAACAATTCGTTTACAGAGGTTTTTCAGTGCGGCAAGCCACATGGTGCGACACGATTACTTGTATTTTAGGGTTACTTGTATTCTGGGGTTACTTGTATTATGAGGTTACTTGTATTTGATACTTGTGTCGTGGGGTTACTTGTATGTGTTATTTGTATTCTGAGTAACTCCACACCAAAATCTCATACCAAACCAGTAACACCCTACAAGTAACCCCTGATCAAAACCAATAACAGCCATACAAGTAAACCTAGAATACAAGTAACACCTGACAAAACCAGTAACACCCTACAAGTAACCCCGACCAAACCAGTAACACCCATACAAGTAACCCCAGAATACAAGTAACCCCTGACAAAACCAGTAACACCCTATAAGTAACCTCGACCAAAACCAGTAACACTCATACAAGTAACCCCAGAATACAAGTAACCCCTGACAAAACCAGTAACACCCTACAAGTAACCCTTGCTGCACCATGTGACCAGCCACATACAAAAATTTGTAATTCGTTTAAGCTCTATTCAATTCAGTTCAGTTCAGTTCAATTCCTAATTTCTTTTTCTCATAAACAATTCATTTCACCTCTATTCAGTTCAATTCAATTCAATTCAATTAAGTTGTTTTCAATAAATCGGAATAGACCCTAAATCTAAAAGATAATGACCATGGTTGATCGGTCACTCACAAACTGGATGACCCACGACATTGACAGCCCAATATGTGCTTTTGGGCCCACATTAGGCTGGTAGCTACAGGCCATGCATGGAAATTGCTTATCAATTACATACAAGATACGAATACATGTAATCAGGACATTAGTGTGGGATCCTAGGACATAAGATGTACACCTAAAGGGTCCAAGTCCAAGGACTTTTAAATGAACTTGTTCTTCATCACTGGCCCAATTTAAATTAGCTTACTCCTTCAGTTCATTGTAACTTTTTGGATGCTAATTTCACATTAGAATTGAGAAAAATCATACAGTTACAAATTTTCCTGTTGGTGCTGTAATTTGAATTACAAACTTACACTATCAACTTTATAAATCGTTCAAAAATTGATTTAATCATATATTCAAAAAATGATTTAACAACATTTTCTAGCTGCATAACTGCTCACTAGTACTAAAGATCTGCCCTGTGTCGTTGCCTCTTTAGGCTTCACATATCTATGCTGAAAATAAGCATCCTAGCACAACATTAATATGAAAGTTCACAATCAACATTTAGGGAGATCCGAAGGCGGTGGCGGCAATTTTTGGTTCTTCTCCGTTCCATCCTGTACAATCCATGCCATCTTCAGTCCCCAACTCGTGTGAACTTCCAAATGACAATGCATAAACCAAGCACCTGTTCATAATCATGTCATCATATGTTAAACTAAGTATATGATTTTTTTATTTTTTTTTTTCACTAAATTAGGACTTATATTGCCTAGGAACTTTTGCATTACCTGGATTGTCTGCACGAAATCTGATAGCAACCCATCCACCAGACGGTACACCAACCGTGTTTCTCTCAATAGGATCGACGAGGTTAAACTTTGCAGGATCATTCTTGGAATCAAAGTTACCAACCCCTTGACCTACGACGAAGAAGTTAAAACCATGAAGGTGAAGAGGGTGACTTTCAGCCCCAATTATGCTAGTGTCCTGTAATACTAGCTCAACACTTGTGTTAAATGGTAAGACAATTGTTTTAGTCCCGCGGCTAAGCATAAGATTTTTGGGGGGTGTGCCAGTGTAGTTAAATTTGAAGGGTGGATTTTTAGGAAAATCAGTAGTAAACACTCCATTTGTTTGGAAGAAATGGGATTGAAGTAATGCAATTTTAGGCTGTACATACGAAACATTATTGACCGCGGCTGCTATCATTGTGTTGTTGGGTCCTTGACAGGTTTGATGCTTAGGGCAGGGGAGTAATCCGAGACCAACAGTGAATAAGAAACGTCTGTCAATCTTTTTAGGTACATTGGCAGGAAAGTTTGAATTTGCAAGGCTTCTTAACTTGCTGTTAAACTTAGCCGCGAATGAGATGTCATTAAAGAAAGGGAGTTTTGGTTTGAGTTGTGGAAGTTTAGTGTGTTCGTGTTTCTGAGAAGGGTTACGAGCGTACACGAGTATGGCAGCTGTAGTTGTATTGTCAAATGTTGCAGGTCCTGTCGCATAAGGCCGCGCTGCCATGAGGAAGGAGGCATTAGGATGGTGGTTCTTGGCAGTCAGAAGAACATTGGTAGTTTGTCCAGGAGTTATGAGAATAGTGTTGGTTGTGAATGGCTTGGTATAGATGGCGTCTGCTTCGACGACTGTGAGTGTATGGTTAGCGACACTGAAGAAAAGCTCGTCGTTAAGTGCAGCATTGATCAGACGAAGAAGGTAAGTCTTGCCCGGCTTTACCTTGAGCTTGAACGCATCTACAAAATGCATGATTAGTGTAGTAATTAGATTATAGGTACTGCTAGAAAGTCATGGTAATTAGTACTAGTTTGTGTTGTTTAGATAATTAGATGTATGTTTTATTGTTTTATACCTTTTGTTGAGCAATTGTACAAGGGTCCAGGAAGGCCGTTGACAGTGAACGCGTCCGAAAGATTAGGGGCTGATCCTGTTTTCATTGCTTGATTAATCACTAACTCAGTGTCTGCTTTCCACCATTCCCCTGTTTATGAAATTCATTAGAAATTGACATTATAATTGCTTTATTAAAAATTTACTTAATAGACACAAAATTACGGAAAATTACCGAAAACGATTGGAACTTCCTTGTAAGGCTGAGGGAAAGGATAAGGAACACCATGCTTTGGTAGAATAATAATGGGACCGTAAAGAGTAGCCCTAAGCCATGAAATATGAGCATGCCAAAACAAGGTTCCTCTTTGGCCTGTGACTCTAAATCTATACACATATTTTTGACCAGTTTGAATTGGGCATTGTGTCACATAAGCCGGTCCATCAGCCCATCCACTCCTCAGTTGTCTAATGCCATGCCTGTTCCGCGATATTAAATGATACATTTAGGTTTATGTTATGTTAAATGTATACGAATATTTGTTTTTTCGTGCAAAATTGTTACTTACCAGTGAATTGTAACGTTGTACTTAACGTTGTTCACCACAGTAATTTCAAGCCTATCACCTTCTCTAGTGACAATTTTTGGCCCTGGGAACTGCCCATTAATGGTTACAATGCTCTTTGTTTGACATAATCTCGTCACACTTTGCATCTTGACCTGTGTGCATGATGAAAATAATAAGATCGAAATATCATAACTAGTAAGGCAACTAATAAGGTAACTAGTCAGAGTACACCAAAGAGAAAACAAGTCTGTCTTCGTAACTAGTAAGGCAACTAATAAGGTCGAAATATCATAAAATTTCTTTTGTACGTTAATAAGGCTACCAGCATTTCGCCTTAAGTAAGTGTAAAACAATTAGCTGTATACTTATACTACACCAAAGAGTACTTTTTCATACCTCAAAATTATAGCGCCGAGTTATGCCAGTATGCTTAGCCACAACAAGCTTAGAGCTAACCAAGCAAGTACAAAGTAGTAGGAAGAGTGTAGTGTATAAGTAAGATGATGAATGTGTAAGCCAAATGTACCCCATTTTAGCTTCTCAAAATTTGTTTTGAGCTAAAGGTGAATTGCTTTGGAACTCGAAAAGCCGAAACCAATGTAAGATGATTAAGGTGAGTGGTGTATGTAACACAAAGAAAATGAGGTGATTTATAACAATAGGAAGAATAGATAGTGAAAGAGATTGAGTAAATGTGATGGTTAAGTTTGGTGATTAAGTGGATAATTAAGCAAGTAATAGACATATAGATGTGGCTTTCAACCAAATGAACCGTTAAGCCAACCAGCTGCTGGTTGATTTTTTGGGTTAAGTGGGATGTCCAACTCAATTTGCATATTATTCAGGATATTGGAGGAAAGATGTGTATGTAGGTGTTAAGGTGTATTTGATTTGACTTATTACTGGAAAGTCAGCGTTTAAAATAATGGAAAATTTTAAATAAAAAAAAAATGGCTACAATTATCTAACGTAAAAGTGTTTGATCAAGCTTGTGTTTCACACAAAATTCATCATCATGACTGTTGTCTAGTAGCAAATCAAACAAGAATACTACATGATGTAGGTATATTTTATTAGTAGGGTTTTGTCGGATTCGTTATATTGAATATTTATTAATATCAAGGTTTTATACTTTTTACATATATATACTCCCTTTGTATCTAAATACATTTTTATTTCTAAATTAACATTGAAATTAAGGAATTTGGAGTAACCATAAAACCCATTATAAGAAAATACAATGGGAATTATAAGGTATTTATTGTTGTCTTTGAACAAAACAAAACATAATGATATTAGATGTCTGTACATGTCATCAATCCTTTGAAAAGAAAAAGGATCAATCACATTTGTTAATTAAAAAAATAAAAGGATCAATCAAATTCATTTATTGTGCAGTTGTGCTACACATCGATTGCAATTATTCACATGGACCAATCAAATTATGGTTTCTGTACAACCATTAATTGCCAAACGGAAAAGTAATTAAATTAATATCACATCACAGTGATTTAGGGATAATTTGGGGGCATTTTATGGAATAAAGTTGGAGAATAAGGATAATTTGAAAAAAATTCACTTATTGAAAAAAAAAGTAGGAATCTAATTTTAAAACCTCAAAAAGGAAAATAGGAATGTAATTTGAGATGGGGGAGTACATTTAAGATGCGCCTTAGAGACTGTAAAAAGTCAAATAGGCAAAAAAAAAAACAAAAAAAAAGAAAGAGTACTATTGTAGGGAATAATTTCAAGCCTTTAAATCCCACTAGCTTGAACCCCACTGTGATCATACACTAAAGTACGGTGGCGTCCAAAAAGGGAAGAAGATAGAGCAAAAGAGTCGCCAACAAGTTTTTTAGGAACTTGTAAACCGTTCACGAGGTGAAGGTTACACCCCTTAACGATCCAAGAGATCGTCAACTCCATAAGGTCTAGAACCAAATAAGGGTTCGGGGATGAAGGTACAAATCCAACCTAAAAGAGATTGAATCTGCCCTAATAATAGGCCTCTACTTTATTCTGATCGTATTCATGTGCGCTTTCTGACTAACAAGCAATCAATAGGATTACCCTAAACCAGTTTATCTATGTTGGTTGAATTTAATGCACAAATAAACTATTATTGGCGATCACTTGAATTTATAATCACAATTAACCCTAAACAAGATTATTAAATATCTTATTAAGCGTGATTACAAGTACCAAAATTCCCTTTAAACATGCAATAAAAGGTGTGATCAAGCAATAAATATAAATATAATCAAGCAACATAATAAATCATCAATATCATGAATAATAATTATAATAATAATAATAACAAAAATCATAATCATCATCATAATAATAATTATAATCATAATCATGTTCATGTTAATATTAAAGCATAATAACAGCAAGGTCTTAGGCATGATACTAACAAGATTAATAACAAACCCTAGCATGTCACTAAGCAATAAAAATCAAATCTTTAACCCTAACATGATACTAACAATCATAAATATTAGGAAGAAAATAGGAAGCATCGGGGGAATCATAATAAGCATATTTGATATTATAACCTTTTCCCTAAACATGATACTAGGAATATCATAATAACAATATAAACATGATATCTACATCATAATATCAATAAAAACCATTAAAGCACTTACTTCGATGCCTCTTACCTCTTTCTAATAACAAAATACACACGTTAGTAACTTCAAGGAAAATAATAAATAAAACAATTAAATTAAATAATTGAAAGAGAGATTTGGGACCAAACCCTCAGAAATTAAAACCTTTCACGTCTAGGGCGAAGGCAACTTCGAATATGGCTAGGTGTTTCTAGGTCTTGTGAATGCGGAATTTTGTATGTGAAAACAAAGTTTAGAGGAAAAAGAGAAAGAATTGAAAGATTTAAGAATGCTAATTAAAACTGATTGGAGATGAATGATCGTGAGAATCGATGAATGAAAAAGGAGTTTTTAATACGATATTTATGGAGAAAATCAGCCAAAAAAGATAAATTAACAAAACAGATTCTGAAGCTCAGGAAACAGAGCTGGCGCCAACCCTGGCTAGCTAGTGCCAGACACCAACACTAGCGCCAGGCGCCAGGCCTGGTTCCAGGCGCCAAGGCCTGGGGTTAGGCGCCAAGCCTGATTTTAACGCGTTTTCAAAAATCCGATAAGTTTGCCGTACTAGAGGATAAAATCATATAATTTCCTCAAAAATGATATTTGATTTTGATTAAAACTCTGAAAAGTCAACTAAAGTCAATTTATCAATGCTAATTGAATTAGGAATGAAAAGAACCTTCTAGATGAATCTAGAAGGCTAAAACCATTCCTAATTGCATTAGGAATGATAAATCATATTAGGCCCTCCCCTAGATCATTGGGCCGTACATAAAGCTCAAATCGGGCCCAGTTTGGTAAATTGGCCATAACTTCCTCAATATTCATCGGAATTGGGCTTATAATATATCGTTGGAAAGGTCTTTGCAAGCCCCATCCAACTACACTACCATTGGACCCATATCATGGACCAACCAAACTGGATTGACTGTTTTCTTAAAATAAGTTTTCAAAAACAGAAAGAAGAGAAAATAAATAAAAACTTTCCGCAACACTAGACCTTTCCACACTTTCGTTTCATTCGATTATGATTCGACGTGAAAGGTAATTATCACTGGGTTTGGTTTTTGGGAGACACAAATGGGTGTCTACAGAAGCCCCCACTTTGACTGAGTTTGGAGAAACGCAAGTTTCGAAAACAAAAGTCAAAGTAGCGATAGGGACGGAGAATGATTCAGAACGTTCTGCGATCCTAAATCACTCTTGTAACGCCGATTTCTGCAAAACTAGCGTTAGTTAAACAGATAAAAGAGTTAAGAAACGCGTATCTTGCACCGTCGAGCACACGTCTCTGAAAGTAACCGATTTGTTTTGATGACCTCCTGCAAGCTAGAGAATGCCATCCCGCTTGAAAACCGCTACGCCTGTAACTGCTTCCAAATTAGGAAGACCATTTCGCCTGAAACGATCCTCTTCCGCTTTGATAATATTCCACATCTTAGGGAACACCATCGAAGATTATTTCTCTTGAAATAATCCTCATCCGCAATGATAATATTCCACATCCTAGGGAATACTATCGAAGATTATGTCTCTTGAAACAATCTCCATCCGCATTGATAATATTCCACATCCTAGGGAATACCATCGAAGATAACTTCGCCCGAAATTACCTCCAGTTGTTTGTGACAACTTTTCGCAAGCTAGGGAATGCCACCTTGCTGCTTTGACGTTCTGAACAAAGAGCTTCTTTTTCCTGCTGTGATAGTCTTCGAAAAGATCACTGCTTTTTAATATTTGCTATGTGTTGATGTTTAAAGGTTTTGATGATGAGGAACTTGAGTTACAGCAAACTCATCTCATAAAGACTTTTCAAGTGTTTGTGCAGCCTAGGTGAAATTGATCTTGGAGATGGAAGAAGTAACTAAAGCTGAGAAGACTTGAAGGAGTTATTTAATCAAGAAAGTTATTCAATATAAAAGAAGAGTTCCCTAACAGGAACTGAGTTCCCTCACAGGAACGTTCTTTCACAGGAACTTGAAGATTGCTGAATAAGATCTTTGGAGGAACTTAGTAAGCGTGAAGTCCAAGTAAACCTGCCAGAACAAGAATACAGCGCAACAATGTTTTAGTTAAGATTTTATCTTCTAGATTCATTGTTAAATATGTTAAGTAGGATATACATGAAACTTATTAGAAGCTTGACAGTTAGCTTGGCAAATAAATTAAAATCGGAAAAGATAAAAGATAGAAATCGGAAAAAGATTTTCTTTAAATATTTATCTTTTAAAATCAGTTTGTTAAAAAGATATTATGCTTTTTAATTCAATATTTCTATCTTATTTTCTGAAAAGATTTTCTTCAAAGGATTTAATTAAAAAACCGTGTTTTAAGATAAGTTAAGTTTTACTTATTTATCTTTATGTAAACCTACTGTTTATACAGGTAATACTCGTATAAATAGTAGAGAATAATATGAGCCTAGGTTTTTGTGAGTTTTATGCGTGAAGACTTTACAGAGCTATAGTTGCGTAAGTTTGCCAAGCTTATCATACTGTCATATTAGTTTCGAGTTTCATGCATAGCTTGCCTATCATATACTAGGTGTTAATTCTTGTATTTGGTTTCGGGTTTATCAGGGTAAGAGTGTTTTTATCATTGTATACAGAGAGAGCTTCTGGTGAGAAGGGGAAAGATCTGTACTTAGGGAGTACGAGTGAGTTTGAGTGTGGGACTCAAACTGGGTAGAACAAGGTGTTGTTCTGTAGCAAGTTCATTCTCGAACTTGAGAGTAGAGGCTGAATTATAATAGGTTGTAACTTGGTGTTTGCCCTATTATAGTGGAATTGTTTGAGTTTGAAATCCCTAAGGTAGGGTCGAGGTTTTACTTCTAGTTGGGCACTAGAAGGTTTCCTCGTAAAATCTGTGTGCATCGCAAGTTCCTATTCTGTTCTGTTTTATATTTGCAAAATTATTATTTAGGAACTCAACTACAATTCACCCCCCCTCTTGTAGTGTTCATCTCAGTTAACACTATGCCAGTACGTCGGCGCTTTGC